GTTTTAAAATGGATCACATTATGTAAATAATGCCAGGGCAATACACAGTGATTCACAAAGAAGTGAATGCCATATACAATAGGCAGACCCTACCTCAGAAAGTTTAAAATTATAATTAGCCTTTCATTTCATAACATCATATGCATGCAATACAAAACTGAACAGAAGCACGTGTAGATTAATAGGAAATGAATGTCAGATGTCCACAGTCCATTACGTCCTGCATATTTTACATGGGAAGAGCTTTCTCACTAAGGACTGTCAGGTTTAACACAGTGTATATAATGAATGAAGATTTCATTTTAGATCTGGTTACAGAAATGCCTTTGCCATTCTTTGTTCTTCATTGAGTTTAGAACTAGTTCTTAGATACGGACTGATTTCAGTATAAAAAGTAGGAGACGACACCCTCCCCTAACACAGATTTACCCCACAACCCGATTAGCTTTTAGAACGTGCTTCAACCCAGAATTTCACTGTAAGATTTGTGCTACTTGGTTTTCCTTTAATGGCTCATAATGTCACTATGAGGGAATCTCATCTTTTAGTCAGAACCTTTCTGGGTATAGCGAAATCATGAAATCATGATTGCAATTTACCTCAAACCTATAATAATAATGAAAGCAACAATGAGAATGAGAAAAGCCAAACAACAGGCAAAATGTTTGTCATATTTTTAATCTTTGAAGTTTAATGTGAAGCGCATTATAACTGGGAGCTTCTGATGGGATTTTTAGCAAAAAGAACTGTCCACATGGCTATCAAACAGTTATTTCTACTGCTCTCACTCCTCTCCCCTGGGCAGAAGTTGAGACAGTAGCCTGAAAGCAGTGTTCAGTATAGGTGAAAATAGACTAGGGTTTTTCATCATGAGGGGTGTAGCTCTGTGAAGGAAAATTGCTTCTTCAAGCCAAGGAGCAGCACAGACATCCTTTTGGGAAGCAGAGACAGAACCGTGCACTCCACCCCTCACTCATCGCTTACCTTCTGTTTAAAAGTGAAAGGCAAACCCAAAACTATGCTTAAGATCTGGAATTACAGAAATATCAGATTGCAGTGAGGGGAGCGTAAGGGACTGAGTTGCACTGCCAGTCTGTGAGGGATGAGTATGGGACAGCATGCCGAGCTCTTCCCTGCCTCAACTTCTGCTTGACCACGTAGGGTCTCATCAGGGTCTGCAGTGTAGGGTATCGAGCTGAACACAGGGACTGGTATATGAACCGCCTTTTACACCCTATGAATACCTCAACAGAGGTAAGAGAGTGAGGAAAACTCATGCTACTGTTCCAGTTAAAAACAGGAGGAGTCTTTTTAACTGCATTTGGTAAGTGCAGCAGCATAGGAAGTCACAGCACTCACTTTTACAGAATTGAGAACAATTTTGGCAGCTAAATGTAAGTATGTGGTAAAAAAGAGACTGAGTTTCAGTTTATTCCTGCTCCTGTTTGGAGCTCATTTTAAGTGATTTAAGTAATTTTAAGTTCGTGCAGGAGGCCTAGAACCAACCTGACCGGGCTGTGCTACGCAGCAAAAAATTACCAAAGTGTATTTCTAGACACAGTGCCTAGCCTCAACAAGCTGCCTTCTTCCCAAACCCCAGTTGCTGTAATTACCTAAGTGACAGGTGGATTTAAGATTTTCCCCGAACATCGTACTCCACCAAACTGCCTGCTTCGGATCAGGAGTTGCTGTGGACACCTTCGGGGGTGTTTTTTATTGGGCTTTTCTTCCGACATTAATTGTAATTCCCAAGAGGATTTATCTGGCCGAGTGCTCCTGTTGCAGCTGTGCTAGAAAGGCAGAGGAGCAGGGGTCGGAAAAAAATTACACAGGCTTTGGACACAGCGGATGAAATGGATGCGGTTCGCACGTGTCATCAGCCTGCGACGCCTGCCCGGTGTAAGTGACAGGCGCCCGGGCACAGCGGGCACAGCTGAGACAGCAACACGCGAAGCTGCCGGCGATGACGAGGTTCCCGAGTTGCGGCCCGCCCGC